TTATGTTCTCCTTGTTTATCCCCCTCCACCAGTGAGTTTTCCCTTTGTGAAACAGCCTCGAGGTTGAATTTAAACAAATATATAAAAAAACATAAATAATTTTAATTAGTTTCATAAAAATAATTTTAATAGTTTAATAAACGTGATTAAGTTGAACTAATTATAATTTCTATTGTTTATCTCAGTAAAATGTTTATATCATTAATAATAACTATTAGTGACATTAATCTTTGCTTCTTTGCAGTCTTTTTACGGCTTACCTCACTACTCTATTTTAAATACTACTATTGTTAAATATTATAAACGTTAAAGAAGTGAAATTTGGCACACAGGTTTCCTGAAACACTGAAAATATGTCGACAGCTCTTAATGTATAAATAATTCACACTCTTACTACTCCCAGAGCTACATGCTTCCACTTCAAACCTGCTGGATTTAGAAGATTGTTGCTTCATTTTTTTTTATATCTGTGAAAATCAGTTTTATTTTAATGAATATCATTTTTGAATAATGGGAAATGCATAAAATCATCAATGTCTCAAATATTATACAGGCTTAAATATGCAGTGTTGTAACATTTTTGGAGGATCTAGTGGCAGAAATGGAATAAAACAATAGGCAGGTTTTCATTAATGTTTATTTACCTAAAAAAATTACCAAAAATCTGTGTTTTTATTACCTTAGAATGAGCTGTTTTTATCTACAGAGGGAGCTGGTCCTCTTCTACACAGTCTGCTGGTATTTTCTTTATATTATAGTTCTGCTAGCCCTGAACGGACAAACCAAACACTGGCGAGTTACGCTGTCACTGTAGTTTCTCCTACATGCTTGGAAGGTGAGCAGTACTCACTTTGTTGCAATCTGCAACTCCACCACTAGATGGCACTAAATCCTGCACACTGGTCCTTTTAAGTAATAATAAGGAAGCAGTTAGGCTAAACATTTTTGGCTAATAACTTATGAACTGTGAGCTGTTGACAAAAGATTCTTGGAATAAAGGTTCCTCTTTTGGGAAGTGCTCATCATACTGAAATATGATGCCAATAGCGCCTACATGTGGCCATAAAGCGCTTCATGTGTACATTTCTTCGCACTCTTCAACTAGAAGCATGTTTTCACTTTTCCTGTCAGCAGTAATTTGTCACAGTGGGTCTTGCATGTTAAGTCAATCTATGTTTGGACATGAAATCTTTCAATTATTGATTCATTGCTAATATTTGAGAAAGGTGATTTATTATTTATGATTGGGTTTCTAATGTTAGTAATCTATATATGTTTCTGTTGTAAGTGAGACAAATTTCATACAACAGTAATATAATGGACCAGACTGATATCACCTACGCTGCGTTGGAGCTCTTGAGTTTTCATTGTTAATCAAACTGAAAATTTGTTTTATCTGTGCATATTTATGAAGATGTACAATTGAGGATATGTTGTTTTGTAGTAGAACCCCAACAGCAGCAGCAGAGCCACCCCACTTTACAAACACACACAGCTCTGCTCTATTGTTCATGTATTTACTGCCGTACAACGAGCCTGGTAAGCAGTAATATAAAACCGAAGCACACTCATGCAGCATTCCTGAAAACCTCAGACAACCTGACACACCTGCGTCCCTTAACACATTTATATCTTTTGTTCAGGCAGAAAATGTGAAATCCTTTATCCTGTTGCCAGAATCTAATTTGGGAGATCACATAGCCTATTTCAGTGTGAAATGGAAACTAAAACAGGGTACAGTGTGAAGAAAAGGCTAGTCTAAGTGCTCTCAAAGGACACACGGGGCATTTTGCTTGACAGCGTTCCTGATTAAGAGCAGGTATTTTCTCTGCTCTTGACCTGACTGTGTGTGTGTGTGTGTGTGTCTGTGTGTGTGTGTGTGTGGGTCATTGTCAATTAGAGGCCAACAAATACGCCCTCCCTCTGTGAGGATGATGATGAGACCATGTAATACATCATCGCTCATGTAAAGATCTGTGAGAGGCTAATTACCTCATTCAGGCTCATTGTTCCACGTGTAAACTAACACACACTTGTTTTGGTTTCTTGTGAGGACGTTGTATTGATTCGTGTTCGTTCCTTAAAGGCTCACCGTGACCTTAACCCTAGCTGCTACATAACTAAATAAATCCATAATTCAATTAATTTAACCTAAGTATAATTGTAAGCTTAACTAATCCTAAAACTTCAATGGTTTACCTTGTGTGTGAGTTTTATGTCTCATAGATTGAAGGTGAGTCCTCAATGTGTGTGAATAGATTTGTGTCACCACATTAAAATTAACAATACCACACACACACAAAGATAAACACAGGCACATACATTTTAATCAAGGTCAATTTATTCATTTTACAACACAAAGTTGTAGCTCCTTCATAATACACACACAACATACATACAAATATTTAAATTAGAACATATAAAGTTACTTGTATATACATGTATACATCCAGAAAGTATGTACACTTTGTTCAATGTCCATGTGAAGTTTCTTGTCTTTTATTTATGGTGGAGAGCAGAGGATGAGTTGAGGAGTGTCGCAGCCTGAGGAAAGAAGCTGTTCTGAAGTCTGGTAGTATGACAGTGGATACTTCTGTATTGATTGCCAGACGGCGGCAGGGTGAACAAGCTGTGGGTGCTGTCTGTTTGTATCCTTTGGGCTCTGTGCAGGCACCTCACCTCACCGATATCACTGATGCTCGGTAGATGGGTGCCAATCGTGTTCTGGATGGTTTTAATCACCCACTACAAAGCCCTCCTGTCCTGGCCCGTTAACAAGAACTTGGCACAGGAATTTTGCCGTCTTAAGTTTCCTTAAGGAATACGGTAGATATGTGTGTCTCCGTAATGCTGATTCCCTGTTCATTTGCTCCACCTCAGCTCCACTGATGTAAACAGTGGTGTGTGCCATTTCCTCCTTTTCCCTATCAACTCCTTGGTTTTTCTGACGTAGCAGCAGTAGATTGTTCTCTGTGCACCTCTGCAAGATTGTTAATTTCCTCCCAATATGGAGTGACGATGATGGTGGTCTCGTCCGCGTTCAACACAACAGAGTTGTCTCCCTGTCGGGGGGGATGCAGTCACGGGTGTACAGCATGAACAGGAGTGGGCAGAGTGCACAGGCCTGAGGGGCTTCGGCGTTGAGCACTAGAGGGGAGGTGGTGTGATCGTTTGTGTCCGTTTGTTAGTTTGTTAAAGATATTACTCAAACCCAGAGTACTAACTAGTTTCATGTGGGGAAACAGCATTCTCATGTAGGTGTTTTTATTTTCAAAGTGTGTGAAAACTGCGTGGATGGTATCTTCTCTGGATCTGTTGGCTCTGAGTGCAAACTGGTGAGAGTCCAGGTTGGCTGGGATTTTATTCTTTATGTGCAGAACCAGTTTCTTAAAGCAGAATGGGGGTGAGTCCCAAAGGGAGGGTAGTTGTTCAGACTAGATACTGGTGACAAGAAAGCATATTAGGCCTTAGATACTGCCCTCACCTCTCCATTCATCCAGGCTTTCTGCTCAGGGAATGATTTTATTGTCTTTGTGATCACATCATTGACACATTCGCTGGTGTATGATGTTGATGGTGTATTTTCCTCCAGATCGATGTGATTCTCCTGGGTGGCAGCCTCTTTAAACATGTGCCAATCTGTGCACTCAAAACGGTCCTGTAGAGCCGCTGTAGCTTCGTCTGTCTACATTAATTGTTTTTTTTTCTGATGGTTTTGACCCTTTAATCAGCTGGGCACTAGTTGGCAGGAAAAGCAGGGAAATGTGGGCTGATTGTCCAGAGTGAGTGGGGGGGGGGGGCTTTGTAGCTGACAGGAATGTTAATGCAACCATGGTCCGGGGTATTTGTTCTCCAGGTGGGGATGTGGATGTGCTAGTGGAATTTAGATAAACTGTGTTGAGATCTGTTTGAGTAAAGTCACCGGCTACAATAATAATGCAGCCTGGTTGTTTTGTCATGTGACTGCTGAGGACCTCATGTAGTTCCTGTAGTGCGTCTTCTTAATTTGAGTCAAACAGCAGTAACAAAAACACTGGTGGCTTGTGGGCAGATATTATGTGTTACATCTTAGCATTAAAAAGTCGACATCTGGGAAACGTCCATCAACTTTGACTGTGTTTGAGCACCAAGCATCATTACACTGATTGCAGTGACGGCTAATGTAAACACAGGTGGCATCTGCAGCCTGTTAAGCCACTGTTAAGCATTGTGACGGTTTTGCAAATCATGTCAGTGTTTGACAAATTACTACAATTAAACTGATAATAGGCTGGTCATTTTAATTAGGTTTTGTTTTTTATGAAGTGTATTGTGTAAATTTAATTTCCATTACTGGAAATTTGAAATATGTACAAGTCACTTCTGTACAGCTTGGTATAGAGTGTGTTATATGTTATTGGAAATGTACGAGTGAATTCAACAAGCTTTTAAGTAACCTTATCTTACATGGTCAATTTTGTATTTTTACACAGTAACATCCAAGTACATCAAGTGGCAGCAGCTGTGGAAGACACTGAAGCACATGTGGCACATCCACACACATGCATACAAACAAACACACCCACACACAAATGAATACACAAACAACGCAACATCGTGGGATATAGCCAGTCCCTGTACAGTGTGTCCCATGTGTGTTCACAGATGCACATTACAGAACACTGAGTACAACATACAACACACTCTGCAGAGATGCTGGAGCCATTTGCAACATATTGCACATTCCCATTCCTCGGGCCTCATTGCACACAAGCACCAGCTGTGCGAATAGTGTGTGTGTGTGTGTGTAGTTATATATGTGAGCATGTGGGAGGCAGAGCAGAACTTTTTTTTTTTTACTGTTTACTGTTTTATGGGCAAGATGATGCAAGGTTGCAAAGGACTACATGCATGTTTGCGAGTGTATGTGCAGTTATGTTAAGAAAATTTAATTACTGTGTGTATGTGTGTGTGTGTGTGTGTCTGGGGTTAGAGTAGGGCATACCGTGGACTGATTAATGAGCTCACACTGTCATACACATATTCTGCACAGGGGGGTTCAAGTAAACCCAGCGCCCGGCGTGACCCCGCTCATTTGTTATTATAGAGTAATTCTGTGGAAATTATCCATCCTTTGCTGTCTAATGTGACAGTAACACATCCTTACTGGAAGGCACAGCAACGCTGGAATTATCCCATCCAGTTATTATCAAGCCGAGCAGAGGAACTGTACTGAAATGGCAAATTAGCCTCTGCTTCATTTATCCTGCAGTGAGCACTCCACTCCATGGTGAATTTGTTTCCATAGGAACATGATGTTACTTTGGGCTTCACGAGCTGTACAACCCGCTCTACTTTGCCGCCTGTGTTTTGCTATCTTTTCTGTTCAGTTTCCTCTCTGCTCTTGTCAGTCGCTCCACACCGACAAGGAAGAGAGAGAGAGAGAGAGTGTGAGAAAAGGGTTTGGAAATGAAATCAATAGGGCCATTTAACTGCCACTTGGGCTTTCAGATTTTTGTTTGGCATATCTGGAAGCCTGCTCTGGTCTTATCAGCCTGACATCTCTGATCTTCAAGATGTCTTTTTATTAGAGCCTGCAAGCGTTTACAGCTCCAATTTCCTGCAGCCACTATGCCATTTCTTTTCTACAAGCCTGTTCACTGTATCTGCATCTCCTCAATCTGTATCAACTGAAATATTACAGCAATTACTTCCAGCTCTGTGCCCGAGTGTGTGCTGAGAGACAGAGAGTCAGTGTGTTTCAAAAAGACTGCGGAGTTGCTGAAAATCTATGTAAGAGTCAGCAGCAACAGTTCTCTGCTTTTGCGACAGGGGTTTAAAGCAGTATTTCACTTTGGTTGCACATTTCCATGACTTAAGAACAAGATTTCTTTTCTGCAGCAAGTAGAAATTGTACCAAGACAGACAAGTTTTAAGTTTTGTACAGTGACTTTGCTGAAAGTATTGGCTGGATTATGAAAAAGGGAGGGAGTCAGATCAAAAGCAAAAGAAGAGAGCTAGAAGTAATGACGGGAGCTGAGTAAATGTGTGGCTGGGTATGTGTATGGCAAAGCACCAGACTAAAAAGGAGAGAGATAGCGAGAAAAGGATCTCCTGTAAAAGTGTTGGTGGTGATTTGCAGCGGCGTCCTTGCAATCTTCCCTCTACCTGACTGGATGTTTTATGAGCGTTGCAGAATCAGAAAAGGAGGCAAGCTTATAATACAGCTGACAGAAGTCTTTTTATGGTGGATGGGCAGAGGTGCAGGAGGGAGGGGGGGGTGTAATAAAGCTGAGTGCATCTCTCCTGGAATGAAGCTGCAGCGATCGGGAGGGGACCGAAGAGAGAGGGAAGGCTGGCGAAGTGCTACAAATATTAGTGTGTGAGTGAGCGCAAGTGAATGTGTGCAGTATGCACCATATGTCCAGATACGTGTGGGTGCGTGTGACGAGGGGGAGGCAGTTTGCTCGGAGCCGTTACTGACGTCAGCGTGTTGAACGATCACTCAGCTTGTTCAGTATGAGAGACACTAACCCTCCATAAAGGGGTGTGTGAAGAGGAGGAAGAGTGGAGGGGGGTTTGCACGGCGAAGCAGTATCAGCGCACAGAGCAGAATGCAGCCCTCAGCACCACGCCAGCCCATAGACACCCAATTATTCCAGTTTTTTTTTCTGTACTGTGCAGTGAAGGGTGCAACAACGACTCATTGAATTGATCTCAAGCCTCTGAAGCACTCTGCCATGCAGAATGAATACTTACTGATGAGATATTATGTAGTTTGTTGAAATGACACTTTCTTTCTACCGGGAATCAAAAGACCCTTAACACACAATACAGAGACCTTTTTCATCTCTTCTCACATGTCGGATCACGGTAGCATTTCTCCAACACTCAGTTTTGTGCTAATTTTAGATATTCCAGTTTGGCATACATGAAGTCAGTCATATTTGAGTTTAACTTCCATCATTTAACACCACTATGTGATGTTTTAAGTCACTTATCATTTCCATGTTATGGGGCAATCAGGGGCGTATATCCAAGCATCCATCCATTTTCTAAGCGGCTTATCCTGTGCAGGGCCATCGGCGGCTGGAGCCTATCCCAGTATGCATTAGGTGAGAGGCAGGGTACACCATGGATAGATCAACATTGTTAACACATACAGTAAATGTTTACACTAGCTGGCTACATTTAAAAACATAATTTACATGTAAAAATGACATGTATCCATACTAAGGTATGCAGGTATTTTTTTAAAAGATCTCCATTAACGCTAAAATGCAGAGAAAAATGGTTAAATTTCTTCTTTTTCATCCTGACAACTGTCTTAAAATAAACTAAAACATGAAAATAAAATTGATTTTGACTCATAAATACGACATGTTAACCAGGCTAATAGTATTTGCTGCTGCACTGATCAAATCAATATGTTAGGATTGCGAAGTGGTGACAAAATAACACATAAATACAGCTTAACGACAACAGCTGTGTTATGTGATTGGCTATATTGACACTGAAAATGAGTGATCACAGAGTTTTTTTGCTTTTTAGTGTCTGCGCTAAATCTAAATGTTAATGTTTTCAGATTTATACACTAAAATCACAGGGAAGGGAAGCTTTTCAAGTAAGAAAGGTTGGCTTAGTGTTTGATGACGTGCCGAAACGGAGAGGAAAAGGTGCATTTTCAAACGTAGCCTGCCTAGTGTGGACTCACTTTTGCACTTACACTAATCAGCAACTGCAGACCATTGACATCAAGCCATTTTCCACTTTAAACGTAAGAAATGCATATTTGGCTCTTACTGACATGGTTCCTAAGCAACTAGAATGTAGGAAGAAAAAAAAAAGACGTGTTCAGGGTCCATTTCCCATTATACAGAAGGCATCTGTCAATTTAAAAAGCTGTAAATTGTACCCTGGCTACCTCTACAGTTCACTGGAGGTTTACATTTGAGGTATCATTAAGACTCAGGCCATTTTCAGCACTGCAGTAACTATGCAGGAATGTTCAGAATTACAATGTGTCTCCGTTTCCAGTGTCCCTGTATTGAGCTACAAGCATGTGTATCCATCAGAGATACAGAGCTGAGTTAGTAGTTTTCTCAAACACCCAGCACCTCAGGTACATTAACACCAACTACTACACTGTACCTTATTATTTTATTATTATTATTTATTACCTTGTATTCAGGGTTATTATAAAAAAGTAACTGAAATGACATGAGACTTTGGTGCATGTATTTATTGACATGAATGTGAATAATTTCCTTCACAAAGTGTTTGAATTGTAATACCTATTCTCAACAAAATGCCCTGACAACATGTTATAATTAAAAAAACTAAAACTAAAATTGAATAAATAAAAACTAAAACTAAACATTTGAAACAATAAAAACTAAACTGAAGTGAGAAAATCGACTGAGGAAAATAATGAATTGAAAAGAAAAATATCTTATATATCGTATATATGTCATAGTTTGAAAGGTTGCATTGTTTTGTGTATAAAGTTACTTTGCAGTGAATGAATACATCATGGGTAGATATGTATAGTATTCACATTAAAAAAATATTTATCATTAGAGCCCCATTCTGTTTTTAATGTGCAGCGAGCAAGTGAACTCCAATGGTTACCATTTCACATACTGGAGGACAGTACATTGAGGCTGGTTATGTATTTACTTGTATTAATCATGTTGTGGGGACCCATTTTCCCTCTGGGGTCAAAAAGCTGGCTCTCATTGTTTGGATTCATACTGGCTAAGGCCAGTTCTGTACTTAGGTTAATGTTAATTTCTGGAGATACACTTCTGAGAAACGTGCATCAACATGCAACCCCCAGCAAGTCAGTTGTTGCATAATCTCCATAGACAGCCTTTCAAATCATACTAATCTGCTACTGTATATGAATTTCTGAAGTATATCTGCAGACAGCTGGTTCTGAGGACAATGACGCTGTGACGAAGGTCAGTGCTGGTGTGGACTGAATGGACAGACACTTCAGTAGCGCTTACGCTACACTGACGTCTTGTGTGTGATGTGAATTTGGGGTAGGGGTTTGGTTTAGCAGTATAACCCCAGTAGTGTGTGTATGTGCGTGTGAAGAAAAATGACTCTGGTCCAAAGTGAAGCCTTGGAAGCTGTAAAGTCAAAATATTTTGTGTGACCTTGTCCTTCTCTTAACAGAACGGCACATCCTCAACAGAGAACTGGATAGAGAGCTGCCCAACTCTTCGTCTGTCCTGAATGAAAGCCTCTTAAGGTGGACGGGGTACATGAAAAATACATGTCCCAAAGGAGCGCTGACGTGACAAGCAGCAGACCCGCGGCCATAAATCAACACCAGAGGACTTTGATTTCTTCATTATCACTTCCTGAGGCAACAACAGAGGAACAGGCGTGTTGGCAGGCCTGCTGACCTGCGGATGTGCACCGTAGGATTCTATTTCTGGAGCCTCATTGCTTTTACAGATTAACTGCCCTCAAATATGGCCCCAATCCGTTCATTGCGCCACTAGTTTGACTGCTGCTGGAGGTTGTGCATATAAGCTTCAAAACAACCCACTGTGCGTCAGTCCAGTCATTTGAAGGCCCGCTGCCTTTGGCCTGTTTTTTTAAAAGCAGTATCAGTGCTCTTTTTTTCAGACTCCTGCAGAGGAACAAACATGCAGCTGCATGTCATGACAGCTTGAAAGTCATTTTTGTTGTTCTCCTTACAATCATTTCTCCTCTTACTCAAGTCATTGCCATTTCCATCCAGAACCGTTGCAGGGAAAGATTGACGTCCAATGCTTTCACGTTAAAAACAACACCGTGCTCAGAGACAAAGACTTCAGATTTTATTGCAAGAGATCCTGAGGGCAAATCACACTGAAATCACGTTGCCCAGTATTTTCATTAGAGTGTCTGGGGCTAATCAAGGTCTTCCATCATCAGAATTGACATTTCCATATTGTATGAGAGAGAAAGTAGCCAACATTAGCATATTCATGAACACTGACACACTCAATCATGTGAAATGGAAGACATGGGGCAAACTCTGAGCCATCGAGCCCTGAAACAAATAGCTTATGACATGTGAGGAGAAGAGGATCTTGAATCCCTCCGCGCAACTTCACCACATCCCATAGCACACAGGAGAAAGCTACCACTGGCACATTAAGGTTACTTCATAAACCTGCAATGTGTTGTTGGCCTCTGGACCAAGGCCTGTAATAAGAGAAAAATTAAAGAATAGGATTAAAGATGGATTATCACCGAAACACTAAAGCCAGCAAAGCAGCTGCCTTTGCATAAACCCATCGGACACTCTTCAGGGAAAACGATTTGTAGATTACATTTGGTTGTTGATGCGGTGGCCTCTTGTGTGGCTGGTATTAAAAGAGAGGCATGGATAATCTAGATGATCTGGAGCACCCTCTTCTGGGAGAAAGCCCCAATAACAGCCGGGCATCAGTGCAGGGACAAGGGCCCGGGACTGGACAGGCCCCTGGCGGGCTGTTCAAGGGCATCTTGGTTAAGTGCGAGGAGGACAGGGCCTACCCTCCTTTAGCGTGGAGGAGCTATTGTGGACATCCTCCTGAACTTCAGCAGCAGCAGCTACTGGACCCTTGCTCCTTACCTCGCACACTGGAGTCCTTTTACCCACCAGCCCCCATCTGGGGCCACGCAGACCCCCTGCTCAGCAAAGACTACCTGGAGACCACCTTTATGGACATTCGGCCTGGGTCCACACTGGAGAGGAAGCTGCTGGCCGAGACACAGGACTATAACAGTGTGTCCTACAGCATGGATGATGAGGACGACCTGCTTCCCGACTCTGACGTAAGATATGCCACTGACATGATGTTGAGGGAGTTTGTTCAATCAATCATTCATTTAAAACAAAATAATGACAGTTACAGACGAGCGGTGTCACTCATTCCCTTTCAGCAGATGCTCAAGGGAAATACCAGTAACACATAAATAGGGCTGAAAATTAATTGTCTTGTCTATTAAATGTCAGAAAATAGCAATAAAAGTCCCAGTATAATGTCCCACAGTCTAAAGGGACATCTTCAAACGTCCCTTTTTGTCCAACTAACAGTCCAAACCCAAATTATATTTAATTTACCTGACTTGAAACGATGAATCGGTTAACAAAATAGCTGCAGATTAGATTGAATTGTTTCATCTCTACACATATATAATCATAATACCTGATCATCTAATTTTTACCACATCCTCTTTTTTGCTTAGAGAGAGACTCTCATACTCTCAGTACAGATTCTGGGAGCCAAAGAGGTACTTAAAATAGACATATGAGCAATGCATTTCAGGGTAGGCAGCAATTGAATGCTTACTGTCAAAAAGCCAGATTACATAAAGCTCCTCTCCTGCTGCGGTGCAGGTAATGACACTACAGTTGCAATGGAGGATGCCAGTTCTATTTCATAGATCACTGAGCAAAGCCCACCCTGGACTGAAATGTAAATTAGCTTTAAGACTCTTACAGTGGTCATGTGATGTTTTGGGAGTCAGCATGAGAATGTATATGCTGTAAATTACACAAATAAGTAGCTGCCGGGTTGTTTAAATTGTTATGAAAAGTCTCTCAGCGAGGTTAAATCAAAAGGGCTAATTACCCACTGTGAACTAAAAAGGCTGAAGGCCGTTTTACAATTATTACTTTGATGAAGAACACCAGCAGGAGGACAAACATGCAGTAGTACCACACACCATTAAAATCCAGAGTAGTTGGCTGCCACAAAGTTTAGGTAGTTAGCTCCACAAGGACAAAAGGACAGCACACAAAATAACTTTTTCTTTTTAAAGCTCATTCTGAATGCTGGCAGTAGTGCAGCAATGCAAAGGCGCAGGCCTGTGGGAATAAAACCTTGTAGTGACCTCAAAGAGGCACAACACAACATCTCCTCCTTTGTTTCACTTCAGACGCTTAGTTAACGGACTCAAACTTGCCCCCAAAACTCCTTCATCGTCTAATTCTCGAATTTTCACTGTGTAGCTGATCAATATGATGCCAGAGCAGGAGAGATGACCTTAGGAGTGTCCCGTCCTGAGTTACTTTAGACGTGAGCGTGGTTTCTATCTGGCTTTTCTGGATCATTTAGAGATATCTGTCCTTATGGTCATAACTGCGTCATGTCAACAAAAATACTCCAGGGCGGTCACTTCTGAGAATAATTCCACACAGGACAAACCAATCCTAACATCAGAGAGTATTTTTTCAGACCAGCAGAACCACCATGTGGAGTAAATGACATCAGAAAAACTGAGATAACCTTGTGAACTAATCTTTAAAGTACTGTGTGTAATAATGCACTCTGATTTGTCCTTGTTTGATCCTCTTTAATATTTAAAAGCAGAGGGAAGAAAAGCGTTTTTTTTAAAGGGGGGCTGGTATACAAAGCGTTACAGGAGCATCTTTGGAAAATGCACAATTATTTCATGCACAAAATAAAACAAGCAAAGTAATATGGCAGGGTCAGAGTGAGAGAGCAAGTCAGATTGAATATGCAGCTGTTTTAAAAAGATGCATGAGTCATAAATCGCCTGCGGTCAGCAGAGCTAGTGCACATCCAGACTAACCCCATTCAGTCACATTATCTTACAGGCACCAGCAAAGTTTTACAGTTGTTGTGGAGGACATGAATACAACATAACAAAAGAGCTACTTTAAGGGTGCCATAAAACAGCAAATTATGTTAAAACATGCATGTTTAATGCAACTTTTAAAATGAATAATACTCAATATTGTCTAAAGGGTCACTTCACTTAAATTATGCACATAGTTGTGGTTTTACTTTTTTTGTTTTAGTTAAGATGTTTGCCACTACCTCAATAAAACTGACAAGACCAAGTGGACAAACATACAAGTTAAAGTTTAAGTAATATAATATATTTTTGGAGTGACATTGCTGTGAAATTCAGTTCACATCTTCATTGTGTTGATGTGGAGGCAAATATCTCAAAACCTGGGCAAACAAAAACAAAACTATCTGCAAAAAGAGCTGCCATTAGATGCTTTATTTGTACCTTTTATCCTGAATTCAACCTAAGTGCACTCTGTTTGAATCCCAGGACTCATCAATTGATGACTTCAGTGATACAGACAGCGAGAGCAACTTCCCTCTGATGATCCCTCAGGACTACCTGGGTCTGGCCTTTTTCTCCATGCTCTGCTGCTTCTGGCCC